GAAAATGCATAAATCAGACTTTACAGGTTATCACCATTTTGAATAGAGGAATAACCCTAGCATGAAAAATTGCTTCTTAAAGAGTTAAGGAAATGCAAGCTGAAAATGAAAATTGTTGTTTCATCTGCTGTATTCCCGGTAGGATTTTAAATTTCGATCTTGGGTATTTCATCTGTCTGTTCAAATGCTGTTTATCATGGGGACGTTGTGTGTGACTTGGTGTGCGTGATTTCGCACCTTTCAGATTGTCTGCTCACAGGCTGCATGCAGCAATGGCAGACCTTTGTCACCTGGATGCTGAATGCCACATTCACCTAGCAATGCCTTTAGTAGTAACTACTCTAGGAGATGCCCTAGGTATTTCCTTTAAGATTAAGTTTTGTCTTGTTTCAGTAATGAAATCCTGGTTCCCCTGTATCTATGATTCTTCCTCATTTTCCCACTTTTTCTAGTGGCATGAGGTTTTGTCTACAAGCATAGTGATTATCTTTCTTCTCAGGAATAAAGTAGATCATGATGCTAATTCCATGCTCTGATATTTAGTTGTGCATTTTAATAAGTACAAAACTATGTATGTCCCTTGACAGATAGAAGGGAAGTGTGCAGAAGGACTATCAATATTAATCAGAAGCGTGGTTCAGGCCATTAGGCCCAATCCAGCTTTCTCCATTAGACGTTTTGGAGGATGCTGCTGACTCTCTTCAGAGTTTATGTGAATTAAAGGAATCTGTTGTTATAATATAGACACATGAACATGAGCTTTGGACTTAAAAGCACACACACTGTGGCAGTATGGCCTGACCCCTTTAACCAGAATTTACCTCCAAAACTAACCAAGTGGGAGACACTAAAATCATTTAAAATCCTCTCATTAAATATTTAATCTGGTTTTCCTCTTCCTCTCTTACTCTCACTCTGACTCAGTTTAAGGTCAGGATTCTTTGACTGGTCATCACAATAGATTTACTTTAAAAATACCTCTGGTAGAGGCCAGGTGCCCTCTGAATTTATCATTTAATCCAACCACATAGACCACTTGATTGATTTACTCACTGTACTCACGTGTGGTTGTATTAATGATGTTCTTTGCTCTGCCTTTCTTTCTCTCCTTTCTGGAAGGTTCCAGGGAGCAAGCCTGTAGGTCTCCAGGAATAGAAATCATGGCCAAGCCCCACCCAGTGTTGCGCTTGTTACAGTGCTCTGTAGAGAAAGCTGTTTTGGTGCGTCTGGCCTCCTCCATGAGACTGTGAACTCGGGAGGGCAGAAGCCCTCCTTAACTCAGCTCTGATTCCCATTCATTCAACACACGTATGTAGAGCACCTAGTGTGTCAAGCACCAAAGCAGGCCCCGGGAATACAAAGATGATTAGGATGTAGACCCTGCTCTCAGAGAAACTCTATTTATGAAGAAGTAAATGTGATGAGCGTAATACTAATAATGGGTAGCACCAGTTTTAACGCTCACTGGGTGCCAGGTTTTGTGTTAAGTGTTTAATAAGGACCATCTCAATAAAACTGTGACATAGAGACTGTTGGTGGCATCTCCATTTTGCCATTGCAATAACGTAGGTCTTACAAAAATTATTTAACTTGTGCACAGACTGTAACAAGATAGTTTGAAAACAGGCATTTCTTTTTTAGAGTTGGAACTTGTAACCACTAAATTATCCATACATAAATGAATGTATTATAAAACCACAGAGAAGAGACAGTCTTAATTTTTTTTAAATTTCAGGCTCAAGGGGAAGTTACAAGCAAGTGTCACAGTAGCATGTTAGGACTGTACCAGGTAAGAGGAAGGGGGAGAGTCCGGGCAGATGGAACAAAGAGCTTGGGAAAAGCACTGAGATGTGAAAGCAGGACCTGCAAGTTAGCAGTTTATGGCGAGGCTGACAGATACAGGGTAAGATTTGTGGAAGGAAAAGCAGAGTAGTTAGGGGAAATTATGGGTGATTTGAGAAATTTGAACTCTATTCTGAAAAAAATATACCAAGTAGTTCATGGATTTTAATCAGAGGAATTGGATATTTACTTTTTAAAATTCTAATGACATACAGAAAAAGGGATCAGCTAGAATAGATAGGACTGGTGACTTCTCCTTCAAGAAGAAACAAGTCTTGGATGAACCCCAGATTCTGAGTGACACTGTTGTCCTGGAAGCAGTATAAATTCATTATTACCTTTTTAAGAAAATAATCTTGCAATATGTAATATGTACCAAGGGTCTTAAAAGTCTCAATACTTTTATCCTAGTAATTTCATGTCTGGGAATTTATATTAAGGAAACAACACGAAATATAAGGTAAGCCTTTAGACCAGCATTCATGGTAATAGTTCAGAGTGCTTAAAACGTATTGGTGAAATTGAATAAATAAATAAATAATTGAATGCTTGGTGGAAAATAGTGGGAACATTGGAAACCGTAATAGAAGAATGGTTAATATACATTTGCTTGGTAGTTATGAATACAATTGTAATAATGGTTCTGAAAATTATAGAAATACATGGAAATTTTTATGGTAACTGAAAAAAAGGAGTAGAATAAGATATTTATTATAGAATGATTACAAGTCAGACCTATGTTTAGATAAATAAACTTGAGGGAAATAGATCAGGTTATAATGGTGGTGGTTTTATCCATCTGCTCTTTATTTTTCCAATATTCTCCAAATACTTAATTTGTTTTCATGATGGAAAAAGGTAAAAACTTTGGGACTATTAATTTTGCAGTTAACGTTTGAGGTATCTGAAACATCAAAGTGACAATAAATAGTAAACAATTAGAAATAGGTTTGGTATTCAACTCTGGGTTTACACTGGAGATATTCAATAAGTGTCAACTGAATGGAAGTTCTAACCATTTTTCTTCCTTTTGGGTCAGAATCCTGGAATCCTATTGTAATGCATTAGAAGTTTTACCATCATTTGAACTTACAGGCTTATATTAATGATAGAAGAAGAAGAAGAAGAAAAAAAAGCCCTTCCCTTTTCTATACCTGAGAGCAGTTGAGGGGACTTTTCTGTGCAAAAGTAAATTTAATCTGCCAATCTCAAGTAACATAGAAAATACTTTATTTCAAACATACATCATTTCATAAAGTTATTTTTTTCTCTTGTACAAAGGGAACATTGATTGCTTTCCTTAATGCCTGCCAGCATCATTTTTCTTACTTAGCGGTTCCTGTTTAAAGGGTCAAGGGTCTGCTCTCTCACTGTTTTCAAATTTTAATGAAATGGAATCCATGGCATGTTTAATCTATTGAATTTTGATGGACTTTTGATAATCTAGATATTTTCAAATGAGAAGGTTTCAGCTCATTAGTCTAGCATGCCACCATTCTCTGCCTCAGCTGGTGTGTTTTGGTTTAAGATTGCTTCTTTTGGGGTTCAGAGTAGTACTTAGAAGAAAGGATTGTTTTTCACTGTTACTGTAATAAATTGGAGGCTTGGTTAAAGTTGGGGAGGGGATAACATGAAGTGACCCTGTCATTGTTTCTGTGCCATGAGGACAGGGACCAGGACCCCAGCGCTCAGACTAGGACTGCGTGTGTCCAGCCTAAGTGTGTGTGAGTGCAGGGCTGTGTGAATTCACGTTTCACACTTTAGTCACATGAACCAGTGCTTCAGAGCATAGTCCAGTTCTTTTAACTATCTTTGCAGACAAAGGAGTGGTGGTAGGAAGAAAGAGGTTAATGTCCAAGTTATTTACCAGGGTTTGGACTGTGATTCAAAGCGAACTAATAGGCAGAAACTTTGGTGATGTGTCATGAGGGTAGCGGGGGACCTCCCTGAAAGGAACTCCTCACAAACTGGTCACAAAATCTCAAATCCCCAGAGAGTCTGGCTCCTTAAGGGCCTCTTTCTTGAGTTGTGTACATCTTATCATTGAGGAATCTGAAACATCAAAGTGACAATAAATAGTAAACAATTAGAGATACACTTGGTAGTCAGCTCTGGGTTTATCCATTAACTAGCGGAGGTTTGAGGAATTCATCCAGTACCACAAGTAGTACGACCCACATGAAAATGGAACAAAGAAAGTTAAGTTTAGTGTACGATGTGACAAGGGAGTAGGGATGTAAGAAATGCCCAAGGGCTGGAACACAATACTTGGGGCCCTTGCAAATCAGGGGTCACTTGGTGTGGGATCTAAAGCCCAGGGCAGTAGGGAGGACATCAAGTCAAATAGTATCTGCCAAGCACTTCCTCTGTGGAAGTCAATGGAATAAATGTCCATAGTGACCAAAAGAAAGGAAACTACAATATGGCCTTTTCACTCAAGGGCCTTTACGAACAGCATCTGGGGGGAAAAATAATTAAAACACTTATGGGATGTTTGCTGTGTGTTAGGTACCATTCTGAGTGCTATGTATATGTCATCTGATTAATGCTCTCATCAACCCTATGAGATAGGTACAAAGATTGTGTTCAATTTATACATCTGGAAACTGAGGCACAAGGGAATCCAAAGTCTTTGAGACTTCAGACCCACACATTCTAACTCCACAGTCCCTCTTTTAAGCATTATACTATATTGCCCTCCCAGACAAATTATTATTATTTTTTTAAAAGATTTTATTGGGGAATTGGGGGAGGGGAACAGACAAGTTGCTGTCCTTTGGTTCTTCAGTCTAGTTGTGGAGGACGTCGCTTCACTGGCCCATGTTGGTATTACCATTGCGCTCTTCTCCAGTGAGTCAGTTGCTCGCTGGCCACTGGACGGCCGCTCACAGCGGCTCACGAAAGCTCACGCCAGCTGCCCGCCAGCCCCACTGCAGCCTATGCCATCGCAGGTCAAGCTGTTGTTCACCAACTTAGCTGTAGAGGGAGCAGTGTCATTGGCCCTCATGTGGGACCTGAACCGAGGCCCTGCTGCTCAGAGCTGGCGCTCCCAAGCCAACTCTTAACCAATGCACCACTCGGCTGGCCCCAGACAAATTATTTTTATAATTTCGGGACCTCTAGGGAAAAGGCAAAAGAAAAATGTTAGCGTATGCTTGGCAGAGTACAGTTTGTCTGTAAAACCAGATTTCTTCTACCTCATTACCTGTACTCTTGTAAAATGTGAAATATACAAAGAATCTTCTTGCTTGCTCTGAGATATTTGACCTAGGATAGCTGAGAGAGCCCTTATCTTCCAAACCTGTCTTTAATCTGATCCTAAATATTTTAGCTTGGGGCTAATTGGACCCTTGGGATTTTGTTTTGTTTTGTTTTTGTTCTAAAGTCTTAGCCAAGGAATATTTTCTTTTTGGACTTGCCACCTGAAATGTGGGCAGCTGAGCAGAGTTCCTTGCTGGCCTTTGATCCCATTAGAGAGTTCTGAATTGGTGGCCCGGATCCGTGAATGAAATCTGATATTAAAATAACACCAAGCTGAAGTCATAGGAGATTGTAGTGTAACATATACAGTCAGAATAACCAAGATTTAGGGAAAATAAAATGAGTTTCAGTTGGCTTCATTTGCTCACTCGTGACTTTCCTTTCACTCTTGAGTGATTCTTAACCCCCCTCTTCACATATCAGGGACTCGGCAAACATAAAATCTCTAACTCCGATTTGGAGACCTCAGAAGCCATAGGAACTTGATAAAACAGCGGCACTCTTTATCACTAACAAATTTGAATTTCTCAATGTTCAGGTACGGATGTGTCATCTTCTCTATTTTATCTTCCACAAATTTTCACTTCGTCACACTTGACCTTTTTGGAGGAGGCCTGACTCAATGGCCTTGTGTTTACAGCTGGACTGTGTTTCATGGCTGGCCTAATATTTTCTTAAGAGTGGTCTGTGCGCCTTTCCTTTCTGCCCTCTCACCAGTGGCCAGCTTTCAGCAAATATAGTCACTACTTCAGCTATTACACAAACATGATATTTCGGCTCGTTTACAGATTCACTTAACAAGTGTTTATTGGAAGCTTCCTGTGTGCCCAAGCAGGACCTGTGCTAGAGTGACAGTGAGTGCCTCCTTAGATCCCATATCCTTGGTGCCTCACTTGCCTCCCCCTGGTCCTGATCTTGTGCTCAAGCATTGTGAAGGACACTGGGGTCACAGAGCTAGTATAGATATGGCCCTTACCCTTAATTCTGACAGTCCAGAGGAAGACACATAAATGAACCAGTGGAGAGCCTTATTACTGTCTCAAACTGTAGATTAAGCCATACTATACATTTTCCCCATTCCCTATAGCTGACTTTCATAATAAACCCAAAACAAAAAGTAAGTATTTTGGATGTATGCTTTCCTTTAAAGTAGCTTACAGAGTTGGTTGAAAAAAATATTCAAGTACTCCTCTATCAAACTCCGAATTAGCCTAGGGAAGACTGTTTTAAATGCTGTCATTTACCAACTGAGTGGAAGGGGAAAACTCTCTTTTTTATCGTAATGAAAATTATAATAAATGAAGAGGCAAAAGCATGTGGACCATTGTAAGTGGCCTTACTGGCTCATTGCGTTGAAACTGCTTTCTTAAAATTAAAATTGTAGTCAGTCAAGTAGTTATTTTGAAAGGGAATTAATTTCCCTTTTGGTTTCTAACTTAGCTTTTTGGAAATCACACTTCAAAATTCCTTTGTGACCATACTAAAATGGGAGATAGGATGCAGGAATTCATCTTCTAATGACGTTAGTTCTGCAACTCACCCTCCTTACTTTTTCCCTGTCTTCTTGATCAAGTCTGATTTGGATGGTGGGAGAGCCATTGAGACTGTTCAGTAACTAGTTTGCCTTTGTCCAGCCTCTGGTGAGCACTGGTGCATGAATCTAGTATTTAGAAAGGGCCATTTGGTCAAAGACGTTTCTTTTATCAGGGCATGCTGGCCTCCCATTGTGTTCTATACATTCTTCTATTTTTAGTCAGTGGACTTTTGGAGATGCAAATCATTTAGAAGTAAGTTTCTATTACATTTTAAAATATTCTTAATTTTTTCTTAATTACAGAGCAAAGAGATTGCATTCCAGCTTCATGAGGATTTAATGAAGGTTCTTAACGAGCTGTACACGGTAAGCACATGTTCTTCTTTTGCAAGAATCTTGGGTTTGGAATTCTGGTTTGCAGAAACACCGCTTTTATTAGCGCTCATTCCTAGCTAGGGTGGTGATGGATGCTTGCTTGTCCAGCTGAAACGTGGACCCAAGTGGATAGATGCGCACTACTATATTTTTTTGCCACTCCCCTCCAATCTGTATTCAGTAAATATGTATATGCAGTTAGCACACTTTAAGAAACTACATTATAGATGTTCCTATAAGACAAGTTTTTAATTGGTTGGATTATATGTGATCTGGACATATATTCAGTTCCAGATATTTTGTTTTAAATTATTATCATTCTTAAATTAGCCATTCTGGGATTTGAGCAATGTAGAGTTGCTTTATTCTGGTACTTTAATTTCTGTTGTTTTTCCCTTTTCAGTTAAATTGTTTGGTTAATGGCTTAATATATTAAAATTACTTTTGGGGGGTATCTTCTTTTTGGCAATAATTTGCTTCTCTGAATTTAAATTTTATTCAGGATATATATATATATATATATATATATATATGTATATATAATAAGAAATTAAATAATTTAAATAAAACCATTTTATTAAAAAAACAAATAGGTTGCAAATTGGAATAGTCATATGCCTATGTGAACTTTTTTACTGTTAATGATCATATTATTAAATACAAATTCCTTTTGGGAGGAATTTGATGAGTTTTTATTTTATAAGAGAAAATAACGAGAAATGAATAATATTAATTTGTTCTAACTATAGGTATTTATTTGCATTTCCATTGCACAAGATTATTTGGATTTTTCTTTATAGGCAAATTAAATCTGAAACTTATTATTAAAATGTTTCTTGATTTACAAATTCCATTTGTTCCTAAAAAGCCATGTGTATAAAGTGCAGTTTTGTGAATTAAGTTGTTTTTTAATTCTTCATTGATACTTGCTAATTAAAAAAATGTAGTTTTAAACTTTTATAAAATGAGTGATATTCTTATAAAAGTCACTGTAATTTTTGTACATATGTGATAAATTTGTATTTTTGTGTAGCACATTCGCTATACTGTACTTATGAACTGACAGTTTCTATGTGTTAGTTCTTCCTTCAGAAATTTTTCAGTTTACATGCAAAAGCCTCATGTTATAAGGTCATATCTATATAAAAATACCTAATGAAGTAGAGTTTTTGACGATAAAGACCATTTGTTAGTGTGTGCTTTGTGTGATTTGTTAATTTCTGATAACCTGTGGTTTCAACCATTTCTAGAAATCCTGGGGTTTTGGGGGTTTTTTTCCCCATTCACTTAGTCTTCATTAATGGAGGCCATACTGTGCAACATGCATTATGCTTGTAGAAATCCTGGATTTAGAATTTAAAAGTTAAGTGAGCATTGTGTCCCTGAGACTTCCATAGAAGAAATTCTATGTCATTTTCCATTGAACTATTTTAAGATGAGGACTTCATGGCACTTTCCTTGTGGTTCCCTTTGCTTGGGCATTGTTTAAAAAAAACAAATCTGATGGTTGTCATGGCATCAGAGATCAGAGCCTGTTGATTATGGTCTGAAACCAGTAGTACTAATCAAAGCAGTAGTGGTAAAGATATCCTTGATTGCTGAATATGAAAAGTCAGTAGAATGTTGTGAAAATTTTATCTCAGTGATGACTGTGTAACATAACATTTTTCCTGGATACATCCTAGCAGGTGGACTCATATTTAGCAGAATCTTGACAGCTGAATTAAGTAAGCTGACAGGTCCTCAAAAATCTCATCGGTATTAGTCCAAAAACCTAAAAGAGCCAGGTTATAGAAAAGGCCGCCTGAGTTTGAACGACTCTTTCAGAGTCATTTGCCCTCTCAGAATCAGTTGAGGAATTAAGGGATAGAGGAGACAACCAGTGAGGTTTTAATTAGGTAGTCGATAGATCACTTGTAGCTCTTGGGGAAAATTTTTACTTCAACGAGAGAGCATGCTCAGCTGAAGTCGGAGGTCGTGTTCCGTGGGGAAAGACCTTCATATTAAACACACACACACACACTCACACACACACACACAC